AAGTTAAGAGTAAACATTATCAGTTAAAACAGAATTAACTTAATTTCATAAATTATAAAAAATCGTCAAAATGATTACAACTATAATAAAAAAGGATGGCTTTATAAAAAATTATTAAAATTGTTATAACTAAAAAAAGGATAGTTTAAAAGTTGTGACATAAATGACAAAGTGACATTTGATCATGTTAAGAATATACTTTTTTTTGCCGATATTTAATCAATAGTTTTATAGATTAATCAATAATTTTCTGACAAGTTTAAAAATAGTTTTTCCATTTTCTAAGAAACTTAATTTTTTTTAGTTGTGCCATTTTTTAAGCAAGGGAGCGATACATTTATATTTTTAAAATTATAATATATTTAATAACAAAACTTATAGACACATAATTTCATAATACGGTGAATGATTTCCATTGTCCAAAGCGAAAGATGCGATATTTATAAACAATCGTAAAATATTTTTAATGTAATAGCACTCTGTAGCATGTCAGAGCTTATTATTTGTTACTCAATATTCCATTAACGAACCAAAATGTAAATCAAAATAATATTCCTACATCGCGAAGATACATCGCGCACAACAAAACAGATATAGTGACTGACAGAGGAGAGAAAGCACAATTGCGTAAACTGACGCGTCAAATATATTTCCTTCCCTGCTTCATTACACGTCTCTCGATCAATCGTACGTTTGATTAAATCGGCGTTTGGACGATTCCTCGAGTGTACGTAATATCTGCCGTAATATCCAGATAAAGTAAACACACGTAAACGAATATAAAATACATAACTTGAAATGCAAAACTTCCTCTATGATTGGAGAGTTATTTATCGATTGAAGATGTAAGAGTAACGTTCACAGCAGTAACGAGAGACAGCAACGTAAGTTTCGAAAGTTCCCCCGTTCGTATGGTGGAAAAGTAGGTGTGATAATTCGAGATTAAACGGTACATTGACATGGTCGAACTTCCATGGCGTCTCCGGTGAAGCCATGAAGAACATGTGGAACGACGACAGCGTAAAAATAAACGCGGATGTATGCAGATTCGAAGGAGTCTCACGTATACACGCCCCCATATGTCGGGATGGCTTAACGTAATTAGTATGCGTTAGGATGATTGGACAATGATCACCCTGTGTGGTAGCGATCGGCAGTCGCCTACGCTATGTTCTTCCAACGGTCGTTTCGCGTATGACAGATCGCCCTCCATTATTTACCGGAAGGTAGCAACGGCAAAATTGTCCCATATTCTGTGATTATGTTTCCGTGACGTTGTTGCGCCGAAATAACGATCGGCGTAAATGCGTCGCGTTTCGTAGAAATCGGCGGCAATGGCCGGTAACGGTACCCCGATGAGAATCCCAACACGGGTCTTTCTGGTCTCGTTTTCATCTCGAGGACTCGCGGTACCGAAATTATCCAAAGCCCGAATAAACGTCCCTGAATAAAATCTCTCCGTGTAAAATGTCTTCGCGTAAAGATTATTACTCTGTTTCTTTTGGAACGGTAAGTACCGCGGAATTTAATATTGCGCTAAATAAATAAAAGTAACCGTCAGCGTATCAATCAATATTATATATGTTTATGTTTATATGGCGGTAAAACATCCGGCGTTTAATTGCATCACTGCGAAGATCATTTCGCGACGAGACGCTTCCGCTGCGCGGCTCCTCGCGATGTTAACTCTCCTCACGATTTCTTAATTACACTTGTACATTCTCCAACTCTCGTCGCGTCGGTTCGAGCGCCATCCGTCTAATCGTCCGTCCATCCGTCTGTCCGTCTAAGAAAGCCTTTATTGAACGCGCCACATTATCTGGAAATGTTCGCCTTCGCGTTAAATCACGGTCCATTAATCATTAATCCCTCCCCCTCACTCTCTCTCTCCCCGCTCGTGGCCGGTCATGGATTCTCGGGAATATTCCGCTACGAAGTATATGCGATGTGTACGTCGACGAGAGGGCAAAGAAAGAGAGGAGAACGAGAGAGAGAGAGAGAGAGAGAGAGAGAGAGAGAGAGAGAGATAGAGAGAGGAGGAGGAGAGAAACGAGCATAGTTGGATAAACGCGATTAAGAAGGCGCGGTTTCCTGCTGCCGGTCTTTGTAGGAGATTAATCACGGTCTTAGAAGAGCCGTGTTTACAACATGAGGAGATCGGAGGGGATAGGGGAGACCTCGTATAAAGGACCGCTTACATAAATACTCGCAATCGTCGTTAGCGCCGTAATAATTAACCGTCACTTTCGTAATACGAAAGCACTCTCCGACTCTAAACAATCACGTCCCAACCGTGGTTTCTCTTAGTGCGTTTCTGACCTAGTGAACGATTAAATCGATGGAGGAAAAAAGGGGGTTGAGGAGGAAGAGATATATCATATATCTCGCGGATAGGAAACGCACGTTCACGCACCAATGAAAATTCATAACAGGTACGTGCGAGAGAGCGTGTATAATCATACGTATGCGTGCGTGCATTACGACGCGTCGTAAATACACCGAGATACGAGATAGACCGAAATGCCGATTCGAATGTATCCGCTTTGCAAAATATTTCATGCTGCTTTGGTCGCGCGTCCATTTTACGCGGAAATCATAAAATTCGATGAAGTAACGAGGTATCAGGCGTCAACATAAAATTTATTTCTTTCGTGCTCTCGTTGAATTAGCGTTTAGATACGAGGGCAAGTTAATAAGGTTTTAGAAAAACATAGTAAAACACATTTTTTTTATCGATTCATTTTTATTTCTCAACATAGTCTCCTTTCAACTCGATACACTTGATCCAACGATTCTCCAACTTTTTCAAACCGTCCGAATAATATGATTTGTCCAATCCTTCAAAATAAGTCTCTGTTTCAGCGATGAGCTACTCTCTGGTGGTGAATCTCTTTCCTGCGAACCATTTCTTCAAGTTTGGAAACAGGAAATAGTCGCAGGGAGCTAAATCTGGCGAATATGCTGGATGGGGAAACAATTCGTAGTGGAATTCGTTGAATTTGGCCATCGGTGCCGAGCACGTGTGAACCCATGCATTGTCTTAATGGAAGAGCACTTTCTTCTTCGCCAAATGGGGATATTTTTTCTTTAAAATGTTGTTGAAACGGTCCAATAAGGCTGCGTAGTAATCACCATTGATCGTTTGCTCCGACGGAAGGTAATCGATATGAATTATACCGCGTGCATCCCAAAAAACTGTAGCCATCTCTTTCCGGCCGACTTCACGGTCTTCGACGAGAGTGAAGCTGGCAGCCAGATTTAGCAGCCAGAACGCTACGGCCAGGGCCAAATAGCATGCCGGGGCCCCGAAATAAAAATTTACAAAAAATTAATTGTAAACAAATGCTACGCTCAAAGCAACAACAAATAAGTCCTAATATCAAAGAAAAGCAATAGTATTAATAATAAAATTAAAATAAACTAATTATAATATTTGACAATCTAAGATGATAACCATAAACACCGAAGACAAACGCATATCCGTAGAGAGTTGAAAAAAATCATGGGCACATATTTTAATGAGTAAAAGACGACGGTGCATCGACCAAAGCGATGACGGTTGTTATTTATTTAAAAAATTAATTAACACTTGATTTAAATAGCAGCCAAAATCACACGCATATCCGTAGAGAGTTGAAAAAAATCATGAGCACATATTTCAATGAGTAAAAGACGACGCTGCATCGACCAAAGATGACGGTCGTTATTGTTTATTTAAAAAATTAATTAACATTTCAAGTAGCAGCCAAAGTCTTCTGACTTGCGGAGCAAATCTTCTGGCGGATCCCCTCCAGATCACCATCGCTATGAATGATTGACGATGAAACCTGTTCATCATATATTAATTCTTTGCTTTCTGAAAGAACCGACAGCAAAAGATGCTGATCGTCTTTCGAGTCTTTGCTCTGTGAAGAATCTGATAGCGAAAAGTGATCAGTAGTGTTCACATTGGGAGGAAACGTCGTTTCACTTGGTATATCATTATGAGGAGAAGCATATTCTGTAACAACATCCTTATCTTCACTTAAGCTTGAGACTACCGATTCTTGGGTTTGTTCAGGGACTGTACGTGAATAGATATTTTGAATGATGTGGTTACAATGTTGCCTAAATACGTCATAACATTTTTTCTGATGCTTTTCGATTGTGCGATCATCTACATTGCATAAAATAACGCGGCAAACATCTATCCATATACATTTAGTGGACTGTTTTTGCAAACGAGAAATAAAATCATCAATGTTGTCATCATATTTCTTATATACCTGACAAATAGCATTACAAATTGTATCAACGGATATAAGTGAATAGTGCGTTTTCATTGTTACTCAATAACTGCTTGTCTTGTTTTTCAACTCTCTACGGATATGCGTGTGACTTTGGCTGCTATTTAAATTAAACGTTAATTAATTTTTTAAATAAACAATAACGACCGTCATCTTTGGTCGATGCAGCGTCGTCTTTTACTCATAGAAAGATGTGTCTATGATTTTTTTCAACTCTCTACGGATATGCGTTTGTCTTCGGTGTTTATGGTTATCATCTTAAATTGTTAAATAATCAGTTTATTTTAATTTTATTATTAATACTATTGCTTTTCTTTGATATTAGGACTTATTTGTTGTTGCTTTGAGCGTAGCATTTGTTTACAATTAATTTTTTGTAAATTTTTATTTCGGAGCCCCGGCACGCTATTCGGCCCTGGCCGTAGCGTTCTGGCTGCTAAGTCTGGCTACCAGCTTCACTCTCGTCGGTCTTCGCCTTCTTCGGAGCTGGTTCACCCGGTGAAATCCATTGTTTTGATTATTCCTTCGTCTCGGGTGTGAAGTAATGAATCCATGTTTCGTCCACAGTAATGAATCGACGCAAAAATTAATCTGGATTACGTTGAAACATCTCCAAACATTGTTTTGAAATCGTCACACAGTCGCACCTATGGTCCACAGTGAGTAAACGCGGCATCCATCTTGCCGATAGCTTTTTAATACCCAATTGTTCGTGCAAAATTGAAATCACTGTGCCATGTGATATGCCTGTGGCCTCAACAAACTCGCGCACTTTCACTCGTCGATCAGTCAAAACAATATCGTGGACTTTATCGATGATTTCTGGCGTAGCAGCCTCAATTGAACGTCTTAATGAGGTGCATGACATGTGGATGTACGACCACGTTTAAATTCATTCACCTAATTGTATACAGTCGCAAATGCTAGTGCAGATGTGCTATAAACATTAGCCAACTCGGCTTTGATTTCTTTCGGCGTTAAACCTTTCATATGTAGATGTTTGATCATTGCACGAAACTCGATTTTTTTCCATTGTGCAAAAAATACAAAGGTTGTTCGCTTTAATCGTCTATAGAAATGAAACCACGCGATGAATTCCGTTCAAAATTTGACAGTAATCAGCTGAAAGATGCTACTTGTCAAAAAGTAATATGACATGACACTGCGAGTGCCCTCTGACAGATTTTCTAAGAACTTATTGACTTGCCCTCTAATTTTCTCGCGGTCTGCGGGGCCGCGAGTCGCGTAAGCAAAAAAAAAAGTAGATAAAGAAAAAGATCCGTGCGAATTGTTACGCACGTCTCTATGCTCCTCGCGGTCTACAACTTATTGTTACACTGAAACTTCAAGTACAAGTTTTTTTTTTACGGTACGCCGCGATCACAATTAACCACCGCGACGAAGCGAATAAACGCATGACATCCGCGATTAACCAGGTGCGGTTTCCGGCTAGCTGAGATCATTAACGATTGATTGAATCCTTTGGAAAAGGTAACTCGAGAAAACTCTATTCTTATACACATCTCTCGCGAGACGATATCTCGCAACGTAATATGCCGATCGTATCGCTTTTCGGTGTAATGTTCTCTGACAGTGTACTTTTTCTTACGATGGCACATATATAATAATATACACGTATTTTCTTTTATTTAATAACTTCACATAAATTTTGATGGAGGAATAATATTCTACAATAATTTTTCGTGTTATTTTTCAAAATATATTCTTGTTATTATTAGCCATATCAGATAGTTTAATTATTTTTACTGAAAATAATTATCTGTAGTTTATTTGCTTTGTACAGATCTTATAAATGAGAATATTTAAATATTTTACTTCAATTTAAAAGAAAAACAGCATATTTTGTGACACGTCTGGTACATGTCTGATATCTATAAACAGTATTTATATTTTTAAATTAACGATATTGTATGAAAAAATATTGCAAGGATATATTATATCGCTATCTCTCTGCCATAGGTTTTTGTCAGAGACGTTGTGACCTCTTCTATATGTATCCGTAAATATATGGAACCTAAAATATTAATGTTGGTATTGAATGGCCTACTCGAAGAGGTTTTCATGGCAAAACACATATACAGGGTGTCTCAAAAAAACGTCCCGCCCGGCCTCCTCATGTCCTGCTGCCGGCAGGACGGCCTACCGTCCCCACCGATCGCATGACGCGGCGGGCCGCGAGGTGCGGGGATGGTCTGGCAAGCGAGCCACTCAGAACGGCGCGCATGGGGAGGAGAAGGATAGCGCTTGAGCAGTAGGCTGGTCGGACGCTTGTATTCGCCTATCTTTAAACGTTAATATCTCGTTAAATATTGCGTCAACTGCAAAATGGTACAAAACTGTTTTGTTCCCCTTGATCCAATCTACGTCCCCATTGTGTTTCGATCCGTTTTTTTTAGACACCCTGTATATATATTTTTTATGAATATATTCAATTTATATTAATCTAACATCAATCTGTATCACAGCTGAGAGAGGAATCCATAATGTACATCTTATTACTATTTTCTTTTATTTTTTGTATGAATTTACTGTCTCTTTATAAAACACAAGTTATATTCTTACTTATATTCATGCGCAAAAATACGGTTTTATTGAAGTATCTAAAATTTAACTATATAATCACAGATCTGAAAATAATTTTATTGGACTATAAAAATAGTTATAAGGACATAGAAACTGGTTGTTAAAATGTCAAAAATTGATCATCATACTTGAGTTTCCTACATAATTATTTTCATAATATTGTACAACAAAATTATTTTCAAATTTATATCTGTATCTGTATCTGAATTTTTAGATACAGATACAGATATAGTTTTTAAATATATATTTCAACAAAATCATTTTTTCCGTATGGTGATTATTCATCTGGATGTCATCGTCTGAAAGTCACGTTATTATACGAACTGTTTAGCACCGATCGTTAAGCGATCATGAGTGATCAGCACATCAAGTAATTCGCCTCGCGCAGAATTAACAAGATGATTAACAAGAAGAATTGAGTCAGTTTCGCCAAGTCGATCGCGCAGTGATCTTCCGCTCTCCTCCTCCGTCATCCCAACATGAGCTATTAAGTTTTGAAACTGGGTAATCATTGAACTCCCCGTCCAAGATAGAACTCTCGTGTGCGTACGTACGTGCCGCTAGTATGATATATTCTTGGATGACGCGCGTTTTAGTTTCAGCCGACCAGTGTGAACCTCCACTCATAGATGCGTCCACACTGCAACGTAAGCGTAACGCAGAGGTACGAACTTGTGAAAATAACAATTATGCGAAATGCGTTGCGTGTCGTGCAAGCTACAAATTGTTCTATAGTCTCGAAACATAGTAGGTGTAGTAAGTCTTAAGCTTTAAGGAATTAATCACAGTCAAATGTGAGAAGAATCTCAACTATGATTGGTCAATTTTTTAGGCTTACTACGTGATTTAGCGGCTCATATTAGAATGTGTTATATTATTATTATTATTATTAAATAAGATAATGCGTTTCCCAATGTAAAATCGAAATTATTGTAATCGAAGTTATTGTCGAAATGATAGCGAAATTGTAGCGTATATTGAGAGAAAAAGCGAAAGGCAGATAACAGGAGAGAAATTTCAGCAATGGCGTTCATTCTTCGATAACCATAAAATGTAACATAAAATTATTGAGTATAGCAACGAAAACCATCTGTCTATAACTATAGTCTATATAGTATTATAGACTCTATAACCTATATAGTCCTAGTATTTGAATTCATCATCATAATTTCTGTAATCAATTTCAATTTAAATCTAACAAAACGATTATAACACAACCGATGTTATTAACTAACTTGTGTTCGTCATTGCTGATGCCTGAAGAAACACTTCTTCTTCTGTAAAAGAAATTTTCAAAACTATATCTCCAGAATATCATATGCCACAGGATGTGTTCTACTTACAACGCCATTCTCAACATAATTCTCAAGAATAATTCGTGAATAAAACAGAACAGTGTTATAGAATAGAACAGTATCCTGATTTGAAGAGCGAGCTGTATTATTGAAATTCTCAACAAAATATGCCGATGTTTTCTCTTGATCTCGGCGTACGATATTCGGAAATATACCAGACGTAAATATAATCGTTTATGTTTAGTAAAGATGAATCCGTATTTATAAAGTATACAGCTGTTGAAGCCGTGTGTCATATTAATATCTATTTACGAATAGATATTAATAACTAAGGTTATCAAACCGGAGAATATGTTAATTATACTAATACATTGCACTCACGTGAAAGACGTTCAAGAAAGTAGCAAGTTACATCAACGAAGTTTAAAAAATAATCTCATATTTTTTTGTTTTTAAAAAGAGTAACTATATTTTTTACACGTATTAGCATTCAATAATAATCTTGATGTCAATTATATAATTCTCGATGTCAAAGGAATCTGTTTGCGTTCATCTTCTCCGTTCGATTTTAAAATACGCAAACTGTCTTGACACTTGAGACGAATGACATTTTTTTTTTGTTTTTACATACGTATATTTCCATTCAATACCAAACTCTGGTAAGCATCTGCTAAGCATGGCTTACGTGAACGTGCATCTAGAAGTATGAACGAAGTTAAAAAAAGAAAATGAAGGAAATTGTACAGCCCGATGTCGCGTTGACTGTTTGTTCACCCATAAAATATTTCATGTCGCGCAAATCCGTGAGCACATGCATTTTCTTTTCATTTCCTCTCCATAGCCTTAAAGGAAACCGGTAGAAAGCCACAGCGCGCACGTCTCTTTAAAAAGTGCATCCCGTGAGCGCATCGAGGATTAGGAACGGCGGACTTTCACGCGCGCCGATATTTTCTCCACGATTCTTTAATACATAATCTACCGGTGCTAATCGATACTCTTCTCGTTGGAAGTCTTTAACTCGACCGCTATCTTGCCAGATCGTTAGATTAGGTCCACAACCTTGCTTTAAGAAGCCTTAAGTCATAAAGTCGAAAGAGTCGATTAAGTGATAATAATTTCTGTCTTTAAACTATTTTTGCGCAGTCTTTAGGCTTTAACCATTAGACTTAAGCGAATTGAGCAAAACCTAATTCTTACGGCCTAAAAGCATAAGTTCTGTGGCCAATATATCGTCACTTACAACTTAAACCTTACGGCTTATGGCCTCTTAAAGCGAGATTGTGGACCTAGCCTTACATTCTTCTCTTCATAGAATAGAATCTTCAATAAAAATATTCGATTTCTAGATAAGTATAGAGAAATATATATGGGAAGAAAGCACGGGGGAAATTTGGGTCGATGTCTAACAACAAGAATTACAGTTGTCTTTCATCCACTAATTTCTGATTCTTGATAGATCCGGTTGCAAACTGCTTCTCTTTGATGAAATTTATGCAAGCACTGTTAACCTTTGTACGAATTTCCAACTTCTAGCATATTTGGTAATTAGGACAAATTAAAATTCTGTTGGTTGGAAATTAACGGACAAGTACAATTGAATATTATTCATTTGCATTTCATAGCTTTATACATAAAACTATTGTTGTTTTATAAACGTAGTTTACGTAAACTTCATTTAATTTTTGATATTAAATGTTTAAAGTCAAACAGAGTTACTCAGCACTCGGATTCCACTGAGTTTCTTCGTTAAATCTTTCCATTTTGTATTCAAGCACCTTGTTACTTTATGGCAGTAAATGTGTGCATAAATTCTATCTCATTGCTTGTTAGATATTATTCATTCCTATTCATATTCCGTGGAGCATATTGGCCTAATTTTTGTCTTATTCGTCCAATATAAAGATCAACTTTGATGACATCATAAAAAATCCGTCGACTACATTCAGCGTTGAATGTGACTAATTAATTCTAAATTGTATTTATTTAATATAAAGCTCATGCGCAAGAATATCAAAGATTATACTGGTCACATTTACGCTAATGTGGTATATGAATATGAAATTATTACTTTCTTTAATTATAAATGTGGTTCTATCATTTATAATAATTCGTTAATTAGTCCTTAATTTATTAACTAATTTATTACTGATTAATTTCTAACTATCTTAATTTATTATTAATTAATTTCCAACTATCTTTCGTTTAATTAAGCTTATTTATTTTAAATACAATAGAAGTTAAAATAAAGAATAATCTTCACGTGGAAACTATCTGTATAATGATGTTGAAATAAGATATTTAGTATAAGATATTCAGTTGTTATATCATATTTAAAATAATAACATAATCCACAATTGGAAATCTCAGCGAACCAACAATGTTATTTCACATACACATCAAATCACAGAAACGTAAGCAACACGCAAAAATAATATTACAGTTCACAATAGCGATTGTTTAGATTATGTCTTTAAAAAACGCAAATTTTCTTGTTTTCGCTTGATATACAGCGCTTGATATAAAGACTGCAATTTTTCTAAAATTCGAGAGTTATAGTTTTGAAAATTACTAGCAAGCTGCTCGAGTTCATTATCCTTATGCAATGCCGCGATAGTCATATTTCCAAGTGACATGTGAAAATCGCGAAGTCAGTGGCGTGAAATCAAAGTCGCGATATCGCCACCCACGATTACAGCGGACTTTTCAGCTCGCACGCTTGGCCGATTGCCGCGTACGGTATGATACCGCTCCTCGAGGGTCCGTTTTCTCGATCGACGCACACGATCGACGAGGAAGTAACACGCACCGTTTGTATACAGTGTATCGCGCGGTATCCATCAATCCACCAGCTTCTATGAAATCTATGAATCTCGCATTAGTGCTTCTGGATCGAGGATTCAAAAATGACAATCACTTCCTGTAAAATTTTGATGTTCAGCGATAAATATCCTTAATCCTCTAATTCGTCACATGTAAATCGAATTGACCCTTGCGAAAAATTTATATGCGTGTATTTTGCGAACAGTATCTTTTTATAATTTAAAAATCTAATGTATAAATAATGATTAAAGGGGCAATACACACTATAATTATCTTTTATGTATTTAAAAATATAATATTTATACACTAAATAAGCTCACTTATTGATATTTAGATAAAGACATATCAAAAGAATTACTCTCTGGACCTCAATAGATATTTTTGCTACTTACTTTGCTCAATATGGCAAAGTAGCAAAAAAAGTGTGTTAACGAAGGATTAAGTAGCATTAGAATGCAATTCGAAATCTTCTCTGTAAAATGAAATTGCTTGAGAAACGAAATTTCATCAGCTATCCGCATAAATCCCGCGAACTAATTCGCAAAGTCTTCTTTAAAGTCCGAGTTTTACGCAACGCTCTTTTCCTCTTACTCTTCGTTAGTCTGCCAATTTTTGTCGCTTGTAAATTCGAAGAAAACGTGCAATTTCTGTGTCGATAATACGACACGAACGTCAAATCGCACAGACGACTCTAAGACTCTAAGATGACATTTGCGACGAAAAGGAAATATTTGCGCTGTCTCACTTGTACTGTTTGGACGAAGGAATCACCTAATTTCCGTTTGTACTACGGTTCACCAAACACCCTATATGTATATGTATGCATATGCGGCACGAGGTCAACGGCACGTTGGAAAACAACCGCGCGCTCGCGGCAAGGCGCATACGTGCATGCGGTGTATGCGTGCGAGTACGTGTATATACGGCAAACGTCCGACGGTCTCGTCGGCTTGAATGGGAACAGTACCGTTTTCGAATTCCCTTTTGCTGCCATCCTTCCAGTGAGGCCCTATGCGAGAAAGCGCATTGAGCAAGCCGAAATCAATTTCTAGACACTATGCGT